CCCCTAATTTTCTATCAATAAAACATCAACGTAAGTTTTAGTTTTATTCTTGAAGCTTAACGAGTGCTTTCACGCATTCTTTGCAGTTCCACTGCTGACACGGTTATGAATAATTGCGAAGTGTGTAAAATACGCAGCACTGTGGCCTGCTTAAATCACTGTGCTACTGAAGTTTGCGTCTATCAAATTTCACCTGATTTATTTATTCCATTTTGCAGTGTTTTATTCATCCAATTACATCGTTAAATCGCAGCCTATACTCATGTCCATTTTGACCTACTTCAGTGTATTGTTAGAAGGAAATGGAGGAGAAACATTACATGCAGTGAGAACAATATTTTGTTTTGAACAGTATATTACTAACTGTTGATTTATCTAAAAATTCTTCATGAGGAGTAAATGCATTAAAACTCAACATGCTGACAATTCTACACGACGTATGAGCGTATTTTTCAGAATACAGCTATTGTATTATGCACTGCAATGATATTTCTCTTAGATAGTTTGCAACACTGCAAACATTATGGTTACAAGTCAGTGGAGATCGGATACTTGACTGATATGTAGATTACCATCACCCCCCTCTCTATTTTCTGTTAATTAGTCAATTAGTCTGTTACTCTTCAAAGATCAATTTGCATAGATTTGGGTGCTTTCTAGTTTGATCTCTATGTAACACTAGATAAAAAACCAAAGAAAACCAGAGAATACTGGACAGCCGTTTCATTACCAACTGGAACTCTATTATCACGCAGCCATGGCCCTCCTGGGGACCAAATCTATAAGCTTTAGTTAAGAAGGCGAGTCCGTTTACCAGTGAGCCACCGTGAACTTTAATTTCTATCATTTTGGGATATATTTTCTCACTGCCAGTGGATACCGCTTGTCATGACTTCTCACTAGAACTCTAGGCAACTCCGTCCCGAACGTAGACACTAGTGAGCGTTAGATTAATTTTTAACTGTTAGTTTGAAATCGTTTGATTGGTGGAATCCAAGGGTGACCTGATTCTGTCCTAGTAACTGAATTGTCAACGGGCCTCCGTCATTCCATTATGGGTAAATTTTGCTTTGATAAAGTCTCACAGTGTTATACAGTAATGTTTACTGATGACGTTTCGAGCACAATTTATCACTGCTCATAATCATATCAAGGTAATCACACGACTTCCTAAATTCATTTATATAGTTCCATTGTTTTTCACTTGATTTGATTGGTAGTAATATTTTCCATATTTCGGGTATGAGTGATGAATCATTTCTATTGCATGTGTTGGGTGTAGATTCCATGAACCAGTCAGGATTCAGTAATCAATCTATCTCTCCACCTACCTAGATTACTTTTTAGAATTTTAACCCTCTCCCACCCTATTGTGTGGTTGTGTGTTAATGCATGCATTGCAATTGCTGAGCTTTTTACTAAATTACTTATCTTCTCTGGGTCAACCATTCTTACCTTAGCTAAATTCTTATGTTCTGACAATCTGTCTACCCCTGACCTACTAGTTTGACCTATGTAATTGACTTAAATCACAGTCATTGCAGGGTATTTTGTAAATTATATTATTTTGTCTAATGGGGTCAACTGGGTCCTTTAACCTACAGAGCTTGTCCCTGAGTGAGTTTGTAGGTTTGAATGCCACTCTAATTCCTGCTTTATTTAGAATCCTACGTAGGGTCTCAGATGTCCCATCTTTATAACAGTGGATGACTTATATTCTCTCTTATTTATATTATTATTACTAGTTTCGCAATTCTTTTTATTTTTCTTTTGGGCCTTTTTCAATCTTCCTAATGAATTTTATAGGATAGTTATTTATTTAACACCAACGCCTCTTCTATCTGTTTTATTTCATCATTTAGGTCTTTTTTGTGCTACTTAGTGCTGTTGCTCGGTTTATTAGACACTTAACTAAGCCTGCCTTAACAGTTAAAGGATGAGATGAATTAAAGTCTACATATCTATTAGAATGCGTTGGTTTTCTATAAACACTAGTGTGCAGTTTGCCTTCTTCTATTCGTTTTATTTTACAATCTAACATAGCTAATTCTCCTTGCTCATTTTCGGTTTCAAATGTGAATTTTATTCCCTCCACTAGTGAGTTTATGTGTGTCAAGAAGCTAGAGAGAGATATGTTCTGTTTTAACACTGTGAAAGTGTCATCCACATATCTCCATCATATTTTTGGATTAGGATTAAACATATTAAGAGCCATATTTTCCCAGCTATCCATAAATATATCTGCTACGATAGGGGATATTGGTGATCCCATTGCTACACCTTCAGTTTGTCTATATATTTTGCCTTGGAATTTAAAGATAGTAGATGTGAGGCACAACTGAATTCCTTAAATAATTTCATCAATGGGTAGTTCCGTCCTATAAGTGAGTCCAGGGTCTGCAGTTAATTCTTTTTTAACTGCTTCTAAGGCCATATTTATTGGTATATTAATATAAAGACTAGTTATATCAAAACTAAACATTGTTTCATCATTCGCTGGTTGTATGTCATTTAGTTTATTTTTCATCTCAAGTGAATTAGCTAGTCTAGAGTTTGAGCGATTTCTAATGGGGCATAATATTAGAGCTAAGTGTTTTGATAATTCATAAGTAGGAGTATTCCTAAAATCTACTATTGGTCGTATGGGGTACCCTGGTTTATGTATTTTAATAGTACCATGCATTCTACTAGCATTATTAGTTTTAGGCATTAAATTAAACCATTTTGACTCACCCAGTGACGGCTTCATTCTGCGTATTAATTCCGCTGTGGATTTTTTAACCTTATTCATTATTGTATCTACGGGCTTCTTAATTTCCTCATATGGACCCATCTCAATATGTTCAATGACTCCGTCATATTCTGTTATTACTATTACTACTCCTATTATTACTATTGTGCATGTACTCTTGAGTTGTTTTCAAAGAAAATTTAGAAACTGAGCATTAATCTTGGTTGGTGATCAGTGTTCAAACTATCTCTCTAGTTTGACTGACACAAATCAAATACTTGTTACTTAGTCTTACTTGTATTAAAACGCTTTCTTTGATTCCAATATTTTGAAGTCTAAGTGCATGTTAGTATGTACTTTTATGAACATTTTCTTCATTAAGTTCCTATCAGTCATACAACAGTTGGACTTGACAATGAGTAGCCGGTAACCTGAAGGCCCTATGTTCGCTCTCTGCTGGTGAGGTCAAGCATGAGTACCGCTTAAGAATTCTGAACTTGAACAAAACATCCTCGCAGTACTCCTTGGTTTTCAATGGTACTCTAACTGATATTAATCTATGATCGGTCACATCCCTATGAAACAAACAATTGAAAATTAATACTTATTTGTTATTACACTGTCTATGTGTCTGTGTTTAATGTTAATCCTATAAACTCATACAAATAATCTTATTACATACAGTATTCAGATGATGAGTCCTGCCGAAATTTACGAATTCATTACATATTATGTGCTTTTCATAATTGTAGCTTGTTTTTAAATGTTTCTGTCCTCCTGCGAAATTACTGCTCAGAATAACTATTTTAAAAATCTTACTATGTGTGGTTCTTTTGACTGATCTTACAATAATCTTCGTTTGCTTTCGCATACTATAGACTTCAAAGGTTATTCAATACTTCATAGTTAATAGGGTTCAAAAGACAAACAGGGATTTGCTTGATGCACTGCCTAATGACTTGCGCCAGTAGTCTATTGATAGAATTCTCATCAGCCATATATGAAGTCCGAAGTTGGACTTTTGTCTGGTTCATTCCTAAACCTAACCGATTTTGTTAGTCAATAGTCAGCTGAAACATGAAAGAGGGTTCAGTGTGAGGTTAATGATAACATCGCTACTGAAACTTCATAGACTTTGAAGCCCTGCATTACAATCGGAACAAAAGGAATTAAAAAATATCTCTAAGGTACTGGACTTACATTAGAATACTTGAGTTATTTTATATTTTTCAGCTTGAAGAGCTGTGTTATTTGGCTTAAGAGCACAATAAATACTGTAAGAAACAACTGACTGGCATTACTGCTTAGTCCTTATTAAACTTTCATTATTTTTCTCATTATACGTTTACATTAAAACAGTGTTGTAAATTCATTCATAGTGGAAGTATTCAGCGACACTTATTTAGGTCTGCCTAGTGTTAGAACCCTTTTTCAGAAGAAAACGGCGATGAATTTCATACTCAATAAAGAAACCTTCAAAGTGACATCACACGCTAAACCTTCGAGTGGGATTCGAACAGAAAGTGACGGACGTGTCGATTGCGGGTCCGATGGTGGCATGCAGGAGATCATGTGAACAGGAAATGTAAACTTATGGGAAGTCGTCACCCGGTTAACTGAAAATGATGTCATTGAATCGAATGGAATGGAGATGGGATTCTGAAATTTCTTTTTGGACTTAGAACGCATGAAACGAATAATAAATATGCCTAATGTTAGAACCTTTTATTCCATGACACACATAACATTTATCGGAAATCTCATCGAACATAGTAAAGCATGTATTTTCGCATTTTACTACACTGCACAATATCTATCCTTCAATAGGTCATTAAGAACTAGGTAATTTTCTGAGCACTGTTCACTAAGTTCGGAACTTTCTGTCAACTGACATCATAGAAAAAATTTGCAAGCTGTAAGCGGCTGATGAGAAGTCAACGAAATAAGTGATGGTACCATATTATTCTGTAAACATTGTTGTTCGTGCTTTATTCAAAAAACTAGGTAGGTAGTTAGATCGACTTACATCATTGTATTGTCAACTATACAACTTACATTTGAATATATCAACAGCCGTATATGTAGCACTTCAGTTATCACTCTATACTTCGCTCATGCCTAAAAGAATTTCATATCTAAAGTTTAATAATACGCTGATAATTAGAGAAGGGAGAAAAAACTCAACTTGAGTTAGTTTTGAAACATATGATTTAAAATTTTTAATACATCATGTAAATTATTAGGAAGGAGTACTGGTGCCAAAAAACTTTCATCCTTCTGTTGCTTGCTGAGCAAAACGTTTATCTGTACTTCTCTCCGAACTGGTACTTTTGGCTTTGTCAGTATTTGTTGCACTTTCCTCCACCTCCATACCCTCTGAATTCTCATCACTGAAGTTTTCTTGACCTAAATCTAGACGCCTGGAATCTTTCACATATGAACCTGTTTCACTACGTCTACGGTGTTCACGAATATTACTGTTTTCATCGAAAACATCATAAACTTTCTGTCTATCAAAACTATTAGAATTACCGTAAACGTCAAAGGTTGAATCCAGTTTTCTGCGGTGTCCCGTTTTATAACCAGAACGTTTTCTGTAAGTGGTTCTTAGATGAGATTGACCTCCACGTTTACGAAGACCATAGAAAGTATGATAACCTCTTCCTTTGATATCACTAAAACCAGTGTATTTACTGGATTTTCTAGATTCTTTCTTCGTTACAGAGAATCCAGTATCACTTGTATTGTGGGAATTTCGATTCTGGTCAAATTTTTCCCTATCAGAATCTTTTTTATTAACTGTGGTTTGTCTGGCATTTTTAGAGGATTGTTTCTCTGACGAGGTACTGGACTGTGAGTCACTTGGCGGCAAAGGTACTTCTGGTGGTGGTAGTGGTGGTGATGGTGATGCTGCTTTTCCCCCTCCTCCCCCTCCTCCTCCTCCTTTTCCTTCACTTCCTCCTTTTCCATCTTTTGAAGTATTAAGTTCCCTTGGTCCACATAATACTCCTCTCATCCTTGAAATCTCGATGTACACTGCAACTGAAAAGCATATCAACAGGATTATTCTCATATTGTTTATGCTTATTTGTATTCTTTAATTTTGTAAGTAATCACTCTCTGCTATTGTTTTTAGTCTAATGTTTTTTAAATTATTTATATCTTCATAAAATCAGTTGTCAATAAATAAAATTCGTAGTTTAATAGAAAACAACGAAATAAAGTAACATGTGATAAGAAATACTTATGTTGCCTAATACTTAATTAAGTGCACTGTTCTAATCAATCAACATATAGCAAACTGAAATAGTTTTGAACAATTTTAAAGACTTTTTTCCTGGGATTTAATTAGTTCCAAGTTATATTATTACCAAGTGACATCATTTGGACATTCGTTGGATAAGGCAAAGATTACTGGATAGCTGCTAAGTCCTAGTTCTGGACGCTTCAACAGAGTGCATCAATGAGACACCATAGAGAGTCAAACCAAGGGCATTCAAGTCATGAAACGAACTCGTTGATCAGTTAATCACTTTGAAAAAATCCAGTGGCCCATAACCTCTATCACTATTATAATTGCTACTGTTCCTTTGGGTTCCTAGTGGAATATAGGGCTTCAACTGCACGTCTCCACTTGCTTCTGTCTTCTGCCGTACTTTTCACCTGCATCCATGTTAGTCCATACTGTTTCAACTCTTCTTCAGACGATCTCCTCCATGTCACCCTTGCACGTCCCACTCACCGCTTCCCTTTCGGGTTCCACTCGAGCACTGGCCTGACGCGCGATGTCACCCAACGGCCTCCTGAGCGAGTGTCCAATCCATCTCCACTTTCTCCTGCATATTTGTTGAGCGATTGGTTCTTGTTTTGTTTGTTCCCATAGTTTCTTGTTGGTGATTCTTTCCGGCCATCTGATCTTCAGTATAGAGCGAAGACAGTTGTTGATGAAGCCCTGCAACCTGTTGGAAATATTCTTTGTGACCCGCCATAACCTCTAACTTCTGCCAATTTGCGATATTTAGCGCCATCATTAGCTGATGTCACCAGTGAGTGTTTTTCTTGTCTTTGAAAGAAATGAATACTACCAGATTGATTATTTGAATCCCCAAGGTTTTTTGAAGCCTTACACGTACACTTGAAAAAAGGAATGATAATTGCTTTGGAATTCTCTGTTGACACACAAGTAAGTCAGTGCTGAGAAAAAATTCTTTTGGTTGATATCATTGGTTTAACAGTCTCTGAATTTAACATTCAAAGTGCATCTTTTTGTTCTCTTTCAGAATTAATCTGTAGGCCATACCAGTATCTCATTGAATAATGATAGCTCAGCTGAGAGTTAAGATGAGTGGGGTTTGTGATTTGACGGGCTTTCTCTTTAAATATGATAAATCATACTCATGTTAGCTGGTAGATACCTACCTACCTACCTATGAAATATTTTCACTGTCTTTGTTATAACAACTTTCTTTGTCAATTATTAAAACAGTTCAAAACGTGATTTATTTTGGTTAATATGTATTCCCGGTTTGACTGATCATACTGAACTGAATAAGCCAATCCCTGTTGCCATGCTGGCTCCAGCTACGGATGCTTCGACGATGTAGGCAGGTTAACGTTATGCCATTTAGTTGTCGACGGCTAGCAGTAGAATAGAGGATAATGCCCTGGAGTTTGAAACTTTGGCCACTAGGCTCAAGTTTCATTGAGAGCGCCACCAGTCAGTGAGGCTGGACGTAAATCCTAATGATTTCTAAGAAAGTGTTCCGTCTAACCTACTACATTAAGAAACTTAGACAATCTGGAATCACCCAACCTCTCCTTTCACAATTTGTCAACTCTTGTATCTTACCGATTCTACTTTACTGCTCCCCGTTAGTCTTTCCTGGTCTACTGGAAAAGGACTATACCATCCTGAGAAGGATGTTGAAGGTAGTTAGTGGGACTAGTGGTGTAAAACTCAGTCAGCTCGTCACCACATTAGTAGAAAGGCATCTGAATACGTGCGAAAAATGGTCTAAAACCATACTCTCCGAACCCCCAACACCCCATCTATTCGCAACTTTCTCCTTGTATCTCATTAGGTAGAACCAGAAATCAGTACAAAATAATATATGCGCTTACAACCATGTACAGGAACTCAACGATACCATACTTGGCCCATGTTCTAAGTGACAGAGACAATGTTAAGCGCGAAACCTATGACTTGATTTGTTGTTAATAACATAATTTTGGCCCTTTTATTTCTCTCTTATTTGTATTCTATAGTGAACTCCTTCTTAAACATACTTAGCTACATAAATTATTAACATTGGCTTACTTTTTTGTACTTTATTCTATTCCTTCTTTTGTGTATCTACTGGTTCCGACTATATTAGCTCTATGAGTATTACAAAACTGTCCTGTCATTAACCATCATGTATTAATTAGCTTTTGTGGTTGTTGTTTTTTTTGTTCGGCCATATTGACTGACAGTCTTGGTTGTGAACGCCATTATCACCACCTTAAAATTTTGTATTATGCAGGATTACTCACACCACCACCACAAACACCGCATTAGAGCTGTCAATAAAAAACCCTGAAATGTTATTTTATGATAGTTTAGTGTTGTTTCAACCAAATTAACTGATCATCTTGGCGATAAGCATTCTTAAATATCATTACATAACTTCTTGTATGACTATAGCTTTACTGTCACCATGCATAAACATATCACAGCTTCCACTACCCAATACTGAGATATTATTTATTATGTTGTTTATTTTTCTTTCTACTTCTTGGTGTTTTTTCGCATTTTTAATAATTATTTTTGTGTTTTTGTGTCTTTTTTTGTTGTTTTTGTTGTCATTATATTTATTTTTTGAAATACTCCTTTTAAATGTTTGATAAAATTAGATGCAAATATTGTAGATATGTGCTGAAAATTCCACACTGTACCACTAGTACTGTTTCTGGAATAAAGCAAAATTATTATTATTATTAATTCCAACTGACGAGACGCCAATTGAGCCGGATAAACTCATTGAAAGTTTTAATGTGAGGGTTGAATTTTGGCACCGTGGTAGAATATAATTCCATTTCGGAGTTAGTGCATTCGATGGATATCTGAATCATTCCCCCCCCCCTGAGTCGAGAAAAGGAAGGTTTTGTTAAATGTTTATGGCCCGACTGATAGGTTAGGAGTTTTAATAATGAAATCTAGCGAATAATGAAAACAATACTATTGATTAACCACTCACCAAGATTCATTCAAAAATAAATTAGTGTCCATAAGAAAAATAGGAATAGTGATTTATTATTACTATTCCTTGAGATTCCGACTGGAAAATGGGGCTTCAACAGCATACTCCTATTCCACGCTGTTGTCTGCATTCCTCTTTAACTGGCCTGATGACTGGCCATAAGCTCCCGTCTCCTTCTCACACGATTTCCCCAGTGTCACTCTCAGACTCATTCTAAGCTGTCCATTTCGCATTCAGGCTCCATTCAATGGCCTGTTATTCGATGTCACTCTTCATCGTGTATACGATCCATTTCAATTCCCTTCGTTATATTTGTTGAGAACTTGGTTTGTGGACGGTTCATTGCTTGCCAGAGTCCTCTGCTGCTAATTCTTGTGGCCATCTGACCTTCAGTTTGGAGAAAAGGCGGCTGTGGAAAATGTAGCATTGTAAACAATGGAAACGATACAAATGACAAAATGTCTAAAACCTTGATAGCACTTCCACTTAAAGAGAGAACATAAGAAGCACTAAGTAGAATTCTTAATAAGGCTGGATGGAATCAAGCATAGCATTTAAATCAGGCAAATTAATCGATTATCAGCTTTGTCGGATAAAGATCCTACAGAATCAACTGAGATAAATAACATAATTAACCAAATATCATGTATTTACTATCGACAAATTTATACACGTCAGTTAATGCTATCAGAATGTAGAATCAAGCTCGCAGTTTAAGAATTTCCAGAAGGTGAAATTTCACCAAACTTTCATTCGCAAAGCAAATTATCCGGACCACAGTATGCCCGATCTGCCCGATAATAGAAATGCTAATCAAAACAAAAGTATAATTCCGCAAAAGTCTACACTACTGCCACAGTCAGTAGTGTCTGCTAACCAACCAGCTACATTGAAGTGGTTTAAATACCGGGCGACCGTTTCGTCCAAGTTGACCATCGGTGTGCATCCGATTTGACTCAGGTCAGAGATCCGAATCATTTGAAACCACCCGATTTCTGGCTAGCTGCGCTGGGGAACTAGTGTAAGGAGAGTGGCATTTGTCTACTCATCTCAATCAATCAGCCGTATGCGGTACGGCTTGATATATTTATTCTTGATTTCTACTTATAGGATCAATCAAGTCACCTAGAGTGACCTGAATAATTTCGGTTTCCACAGGAAACTGTAGTGAATTTTCACCTCAAACTGTATAGCTAACGAACTGCAAATACGTTCTAGAGTAAGCAAGGTGGAGTACACGATATAAGTGAAAAGAAATTATAACAGAAAAAGACAAATCGGATAGAAGTCTACATAAAATTTCACACTCTGGAATTGCTCAGGTCAGCTAGTGAATTTGTCAATTAAAATAGTGTTAATCAAGATAGAAGATGATATACGCTTGTTCCTTTCACTGAAGTGCTGAATTTTGTTTTTATTCAACTATCAGTGGTGTAGATAAACACTGCTCTCTTCAATTAAAGTCTCTAAACAAAATACGAAAACCGTTTGAAAGCCGCATAATATATCAGTTTATAGTTAATATTTTTCTACGCGGTTTTTAAGTTTTATCCTGACGTGACCGTTTCACACTCGATTACAAGAACAACTATTGTTGCGCATTACTGGAGGTTTTTGCAAGTATTAGCCAGTATTCATTTTCAGGGACTCGACTGATCACTGGTTTGACCATGAGCTGACATCAGTTAGAGAATCACTGGTAAACCATAGTGTGCTGGAAAGCTACTTCTTCCTAGTTTGAGACTGTTCAGCTGTAAGCATCCACAGGGGGATGAAA